TGGCGACCTGTCCAGGGTGTACCCTGCCTCTCGCCCTATGACAGCTGGGATAGGCTCCAGCGCCCCCCGCGACCCTGAAAAGGATAAGCGGAAGCGAATGGATGGATGGACTTTGGTAAGTGAGAAGGCCAATGACTGGAGGAAAGCAGAATATTCTACAGTTGCTTGCTTGATATCTTCACAAGTTCATTGCCTCCTTTGTCATAAATTTAGCTTAACAGCAACATTGCACAGAGTCCTAATATTCACTGTCTATTAACTCAAATTTCTACCAACAACTTGAAAATGCTAACTGTTGCAGCATAGCACAGCTTAAGAGTGGTCCACCATTTGCATCCAAATGGCTGGGCACATTTTGTATGTAACATCTGCACGTTCTAAGATTTTTTGCATCATTTTATGATATAAATGATCCATGAAAAGATCAGGGTTTGGAATTCAAATATTTCATCCAACTCTAGCGACTCCAGGATCATGCTATCTACAGCAGTAACAAGTAATAGGTTTATTTGGTAAATGTGCTGTTAAACATGCATTTTAGCACAGAAAAGACACAAATGAGAGACATTCATGTTATTCATATGTTTTGAGCTTTATTCTCTTCTTCTTCTCCTCAAGAAAAATATATCTCTTCAGCTGCTAAATGGCTAAATGCCCCAGTGTGTTTGCCAGCTAGTTGCTAACTGTGTCCGCTTGACATACACAGCATTTATTTTAAGGAATTTGTTGCAAAGGTTTTCTATTGTGAATTAGCAGGAACACAGTTGACGGCTAGAAAAATATTAAGTTAGCTAAAATGCTAACATGATCATGATCAACTGAGAAATCTCTAACTAGACCTCCTGTTTACGCCTTGAGTAAAAATGTTCCGTACTTCCTCTCAAGGCTTACTAACTTGTGGCAGTTTAGTGGAAAAGTCCTTTATATGTCTCTTCGTGCTGTATATGTTAGGTACTAACATGATACAAGAAGAAGCAAACAGGCTGCTTGCTGATAAAATACCAGTGTACTTTGTAGCTGGACAGGCACGGCACAATGATGTTTTCAAAGAATTTCAAAAAAATACATATGGCATGGCTCTGTATGTGCTAATTTAGCTTTCTAACTACTTGTGCCTGCACAAGTTTTTGTTATAAGGTATGTTTCTATACTTTTCCACTGATTCTGGAGAAACCAGCTTCATGCATCTGCTGTAACTTGCATGCTAAAAAAAAAAAAGATGAAGGAGAGAAAAATGCAAACAGGCTACATGCACATCCAGCAGAAACAAGTACCAACATTATTTATGTGGATGTTCATTTTTTAGCTCCTTCTCTCAGTTTTCCAGCGTGAAATACATCCTGTGACACAGTGGTTACACAAATGAACTCATAAGCAGTGTCATTATGCGTGGCTTCATGGCTGATTTTAGTTTGTTGCTGCAGAGCAATAAAATGTATTAGCAGGACTCAAAATTTTAGTGTGCGCCAGTACACTGTCCTGACTGTGCTTTATGTTTACTGGTGAGCTAGTGAAACTTAATGGCCAGCGCACACAGTGCATTTCATCAGCTGTCTAGACAGTAGAAAATGACATAGCTTCTAATAAGTCATTGACAATAATAGATTGATTGGTGGAAGCTAGTTAAACTGCATTGTGCTTTTACTTGAGTCACTTGAGTCCAACATCAAAAGGAGGATGCATTGACAATTCGAAATCTCAAAATCAAATGAACACCAAGTTAGCTGACATGGCAAAGGCTTGAAAAAAGGGGCTTTGCAGAGATAGAGGAAGAAATGACAATATGTAGGAAAAGGTAAAGAGAAAAGCCCACTCCAGATGTGTGACATCATCCTCCCCGCTGCTTCCATCCAGACCAAACAGGGCCATGTGTCTGGTTTTCATTTACTTCTTTTCTCCCCCTCTTCTCTTCTCTCCTCTCCTCTCCCTCCTTTTTTTCTTCTTTTTTTTAGAGAAAGTGGGCGGAGGAAGAGAGATGGCAGAACTCCAGGAGTTTAGAAGTTTGTCCCATCTCAGCCTTGAACTCAGCACCACAGCTCCTCTGGTTTGAGACCGGGAGGGTGCCTGTCTCTTTCTTTCTCAACCATTTCCCCTCTTCATTCACGACCTCTCTCTGTCTCTCTCTCTGCATCTCTTATCAGTGGCCTTATTACTGCTTTGCTCAGCTACCTTCCTTCGGGGGGTGCTGGAAAAGCCAGCGAAGGGAATTTACCAGGAGGATAATGCCCAGTAGTCTAGTTCTCAGTCGTTTTACATAACTGATATCATTTTTCCTCAAAAACGAATCCAGTGGAGTACAGCTACTTCAGCTCAGGGTAAGTTTTGAATGTGCCGGTGGTGTTGTTGCAGAAAAAGTTTGCATGCTCGCTCAATTTCACTTTTACTTTAAGTTTGACCTCAGTTGCACTTTACATGAATATATATAGTGCATTGACCATAGCATAGTTTCAAGTCAGAACATGTAAAGTCATGATGGGTGAGATAATAGGAGGTTTGTGCAAGACTTTCTGGCATCTACCTCATAAATATCAAACAGCATGCTTTTAGCACTAACACTGAAACCTATACTTTAGTGGTGAGAGTGCTGTGAGGGCAAGAGGTGAGCCGCAGTTAGGGTGAAGGAGGAGACCTCAGCAATGTAGTGAATGATACATGTGAGTGGAGAGAGAAGCATGTTTGCCCCTTTTGTTAAAACTTTGTCTTCTGTGTGACTTTTTTTGTCTTTGCTTTATAAATGTCAAATAAATATGTGGTGTAAAATCCCAGAGATGCTACATAAGGTCTTGAAAAATAAGGCATTACTTTGCGCCATATGATATACAATTATCCTTTAAGCAAGTAAAACCACAAGCACCATGCTTTGCGATTTCACTAAATAACTAATATCAAGATGTGAGGACTACTGTTTTTGTCTTTGAGGATAGAACAGGATAATTTGTTCCATTAGATCGAATGGGGATTCTTATAGTAACCAAATTTTAAAGTCTCCCCACCCACATGAGAGCTCTAATGAAGAATAGTCGAATGGCTAGATGTTTCCGCTGCAGCCCAATACCACACCCTCCCTGAAACCAGTGCACAAGTGGAAAAGTGTGAACTAAGTGTTCCATGCTTCTGGCCAGATGCACCAGGAGAGCCAAAAGAGGGCTAGTCTATTGGTGGGTGGATGAGAGGTGGTGCTGGTGGTGGTAGAAGGGGGAGCTGCAGGGTTTAGTTGACCAGGTGTGAGTCATTAATCTTCCATTTCTCCTGTACGACTGTCCAAGCGGAGATGGAGGAGTTCAGCAGTGTTTCAGTGTATCCATGTGGGATTTGATGAATTAACTTGTCATATTCTTCCGAATCCAAACGTAATGAGAATGCACTGGAAAAATGATCATGAGTAATTCTCATGAGCTACTGTTCCACGTACTTGTGTGTTTTGCGTGTAAACCCGTTGCTGTGATACAGAGAGGAAGAGCTTGGTCGCGGTTCAAATATGCTAGAGGAAACTTGGTGTGCGCTCCAGATTTGGTTTTATGTGTTTGAATTTTTTTTCGACGTGATTTACTACCAGCATTACGACAGTGCTGCAGCTCCCTTTGTAAGCTGGTATCAAAACCTTTATTGGCAGTGGTGCATCGGGACAATTCTTAACAAAAGGGATTTTTAGATATACAGAATAAATCACGATTAATGTGTTTTATAGCTGCTCTGCTCTCTCCAGCTTTTGTCTCTTTTTTTCCGTGATGCAGTGCAGATGTTTGGAAAGTTGGAAGAGTTTTCAGAATGCTCTAGTCTCAGGGATTTAGTACCCCAATCTTCTCTTTTTAAGAAGGCAACCATGAATAATTGTAAGAAATCTGAAGCATATTCTGGTTGGTGAAAGCACGTTTGAGTGGCTGCAAGCGTGCAGACAGATTGACAGATTAATTATAGTGCAATCACTTGCACAGGTCAGCTTAAAGGTATATCAGAAGGAAATCAGGCTTTAAAACAGACCTTTTCCTTGGCTACAAGTTGATCCAGCGTGTGCATCTCTCTCGTCTTTACCAATGCTACAGGAGTGTCAGGTTTAATATGTGAACAGGCTCAGATCGAGCACACATCTGCCAGGTGTCAGACGGTCTAACACACACCAGCTGTGTAGAACTGCCTGTTCAGCCAGCCTCCCCCTCCCGCCTTTTTAACTTCATCATTGATCTTCCTCTCATCTGCTCCACACATGTCACATTGCATCCTTACAGCTGAGGGGTGGCGTGCGGTTGGATGTGCAGGTCCTCACAGATGCAGGATTGACTTTTACATGCTGGAGCACAAAGTCACAAGTGATATTTGTTCACCAGCGAGTGGCGGTGTAGCACCACCTCACGATCAGAACACTTGTAAGAATCTCATGCCTTGTGATTTCACTTATCTGATATAAAAGATACATCTTGTGCATAGAGAGCAGGCCTTAAAAACAGATTTGTGGGGATTGGCAGTGGCATTAAATGTAACAATAAAAGAAACATATAAAAGTGTAGATGCTGGTTCAGCCTTTATTATGACTCATTAAAGTGTGGATTTCTCATTAAAGTTTCCTGTTAGGTGGATTTTATCCTCTATTTGCTTATTTAAACTAACAGTTAGAATGTTCCCCCTCTTCTCCAGCAGTGCACGTGTAGATTTATAGTTAATGACTCAATTATATTAAAGTAAATTAATGGAAACCATTAGCTAGTATGATGGAGCAAATATAACAACATCTTGTTTATACAGTGAAATGAAAGATCATGTGTGGCTCCCAGTAGTTGAGGTGATGTAAGAAGACATGCTACTGCCATTGACACTGGCTCACTTTTATTTTAAAGTTAGGATAGTATTGTATTTCAAAGTAAAAGACTTAATGTCCCAAATATACCTGTAAGGGCTAAATGCCAACTGTGTTATATAAATGCAGCTCTTTCATCAACATTAATTTTAATAGTTTAATTTGAACACAGGGCCTTAAATTTGTATACTTCAGGCCAGGTTCACTGTTTAACACACGGGTTTTTAAAATCTGTAATCGTTGAGTGTTTAGTGCTTGGCTGGAGCAAAAACAAGCCATCATATGGTGAAAACCTATAGGTTAATATGATCCAAATTGAGAATGTGTGTGTGGTGTACAAAAAATTAAACAGCATTAACTATACTTAAAGTGAGTAAAATAAAAGTGCTCATTATGTAGAAACATACAAATTACATTACAGAGTCACAGTTTTTACGATTTTAATGACATAGTTATTAAGTTAGTTATTTAGTTACTTTGTAGTTCTAACATAGGACACCATAATACGTTAGATTTATAATTCTAAATCTAAAATAATAAATTTGGCAGACACATGACCACTGACCATTTACATTAACTTGTCTGCCACTTAATCATTCATGTCAACATGATTGCCAGATTGTCCAGATGAAGTGAATAACGCCTCTGTAACAGAGGCCTAAATACTGGTGGAAACAGTTTGTCCCAAATGGTTGTGAGTGGTGCTTGGAGTGTGATGGCATTTGCAGGGATAATGAAAGTCTCAGTAATGTAAGTCTACACTTGTCACTAGGGAAAAAGGTGTATTCCCTAACAGATTGGCAAAAACCTGCTTGGTCACTAGCTTATTTCACAGGTGGTAGTTGGAATAGCAGTGACAAACCTGTCTACAAAAACTGACCAGGTATTTTCCGAGCTGCTGTAAAACTGAAAAGTGGAACACAAAGTGAAAATGGAGAATGTTCATCTTCAATGTAAAGAGTTGTGCCTCAGCGCTGTCAACATGTTTTAAAAGCCACAGCTTTTACTTTTAAGGCAAACCTTTTCCATTTCCAGTATGTGTCACACTTTTTCTGGGCTCATAGTTGGAACTACAGGCAACTTTGGCAATCTGCTAGCAACCAATAATCACACAGGAGGTTTTTGGTACAGCACCTTCTTTCCAACTGATTTGAGTGAAATCCCAGTGTAAGCCAGGCTCTTCCAGGAACCACTGCCAACCAGGGGAGTACATGTTCCCCTAGCAGCAAATGGTTGCATCACATCAACTATGGCAGACAGCTATTGAGTAATGTGTACATGACATCAAGTGATGAACCTCACTATAGTACAAAGTACACATTTACATTGAAAATATGTTGGAATGTAAGTACAAAGCATTACTTGATAAAATACTTGTACTTTAAAACTTTCCATAATTTACTTAAGTTACCGTACATAGTTATATTTCATTATTGGTTTTATCCACACTCTCATCTAATGACATTGGTGGGTAGGGCACTATTATGAAGGAGTGGGTGCCACCCGATGTCCCCCCAATATATATATATGTGTGTGTGTGTGTGTGTGTGTGTGTGTGTGTGTGTGTGTGTGTGTGTGAGGACCAGCTGCGATTGTATTTACAGAGGGTTCGCAGGCACATTGCAGCACATATCTTCTGTAAATGTAAATCGACTGTATACACTGTGAAGTGGAGTGTTTCTGCTTGTGTAACTTAAAGGATGTGTTTTCAGTCTGTCTGTGATCAAGTCACGACCATGAAGTGTCAAAGTGTTGATGTTGCATATTCACTGAAGTACACATACCGAGGTACACTAGATGATATAGGTAGTTGAATGACCTAAAATATCATAAACTTGCTAAAGTTTAAAATGTAAAAAGGCTAAACATCGGCGCCACCCAGTGGAAGCTGTGAAAAAAAGATATGTGATGGGCTACAAGCTACACAAAGATCAAAACAGCTATTGCAGTTACTGGCTCATTTCTATTCAAACACAACTTTAATGGTATTTTTAAAGATTCTATTCACATTAAACCCACAGAGAGATACTGTTCCAGTGTGTACTACACAGTAGATTAAATGACAAAGAATAATGTGTGCTGATTTCAGTGGCTCACTGATGAGCCTTTTTGCACCTTTCCCTGTTTGTTCTTTGTGGCTTGGACGTTCCATTAGCGCTCTGTTGTTTGCTATCAAAACCTGGACCTGATGGTAGCATGCCAGAAACAAACTGTTCAGCTTGTTTTTAGAGATGAAGTGGGAAAAAATTGCAGCTTTAAGTTGCTAATTTTCTTCATGAATGCTCTGTCCCCCGTGCTGCCATTGTTTTGGTTGCTTCTATCAGTGAAAACAAGATTCTCCTGCCCTGCTATGTTTTCCTCTGCGGTGATGAGGGGAAGCCATAGTGTTCACACACTGGACGAGCCTGGCTGAACTCTTCAGAGCAGTGGTTTTTGTGTGACCCCAAATCACATGGGTGAACACAAACATCTGCCGCAGTGTCCAAGGCAGCTTAGATTTCCTTGAAATGAATGCTCTTACTGGTTTAAGCCCAATATGGAGAGTAACAGCATCTGGGGACTACGGGGATATTTTACACTTCCCTTATGTGGTTGATCTATATACTGTATATGTTTGTTTCATAAAGCAAACACTAATGCTGAAAATTTAAGGAATAACTCCAAACGTGGACTTTATGGGCACTATACACTGACCCTATAAATGTGATTGATATTATTTGTGTGACACAGCTCTGCAGCTGTTTTCAGTAGTTTTATTTCCTTCACCAGCATTCATTTGCAGGCCAACTTTTGAAAAGTTATGTTTTGTTTGCATTTGAAAGGTCATACTGGCTCACTTGTCTAAGATGGGAATACAAATACAGAGTTGTATGGTCATCTGCAAAACATGGCCTGCACAAACAGAGTGCACAGCAAAGTATAAACACCATGACTCAGTGCCTGCAATTCTGCATAGAGTACAATGTGTTTAGAATTCATTATAGATTAAATCTACTGTAGCAGACATAGTACTTTTTTGGCTTTTTCTTCTAAGTCTAACACTAGTGCCTTGATGTAATTTAATGTTGTTTTTAAACACCTTGCCAGAAAATTCTTCTTTTGTGTTTTCATTTTCAATATCTACTAATTTTGGACCAAATAGTTGCTGCATAATCCACTTAAACTTACTAACATGCTTTTACCTGGCATTCAATTGACCACATGACATTTTTAAGATCAGATTTAAGGGCTCATGCATGGCATGGAAATCTAGAGGAGTTTCCATAACTTCAACAAGGCAGCTATATGCTGGCTAGCACAATAAAAATAAGCTAACAATAAAATAGGGCATTAGCCAAGTTCCAGCTGACTAAAACAAACAAAAAAGAACAAGAAAAATGTAAAATACTGTAGAAAATGGCCCTGATATTGAGGGTGCTCATTCAAAATTTTTTGACAAAGACCACAGGATCAAGGTCAAACAATCCCTGGAGAAATTTGATATATATTACTTTATTATAAAAGGTGCTATATCTGCATTCTCCACCAGAGGTCAATTGTCTGTTTATTTAGCTTGCGTTTTGTGCACTGGAAAATACAAACTTTGTTGACATGAAAAAGACCTCCCCTTTTTATAAACTAAAGACATCTACCATAAACCCTTTATGATCCAAAATGTGACTTTTCTCACGCTGAGCTTTTAGCGCTTTTCCTAACAGGCTCTGGGGCTATTAAAAAGACAGTTCTGGGTTTGGTTTAATATCCACCATTACCTTAATGAAGAAGAATTTATTGGTCAAAGGCCATGTGTGCCATTTCATTCGTAAGTATTAACCTTTTTGTTTTTGCATTCACTTCCTTGAGTTGAAATGCTTCTTGAGTGGTGAGTCATGCAGATGTTACAAGCATATGTTTATTTCCGCTCTGTCAGCTTCTTCTTAGATACGATTTTTGCACTTTGCTTTTATGCTCTTGGATCTTGAAAAGCTGTACAGACTTCTCTGTTCACGAAGGGCTTTGAATGAGTTGTGGGCTGGGATTTATGGGTTATGATGGTTATGGGAATGAATCATGTCAAAGACAAGTCCTCCACTGTGTGTGTGTGTGTTTTGCCTGTACCTGTAGATCTGTCTTTTCAGGCTCTTGATGGGTTGAGACCTTTCTTTGCGCTTAGGTCTCATAAGGTCCTAAGTGAACCATGTGTGACCTCTCTTTCATTTCCTGTGATGTTACCGCTCATCATAATGAAGGAAAATCTAACTAAGTAGAAAAAAAAGCACATCCTCTGTGAAACCAGACTTTCCAGTCTAATACCGCTTTTAAGAGCACATTATTTTTGTGAGCTGGAAAACTGAGTCCCTGCCAGGCAGAGTTAATTACTAAGGCACACTGGATGGTAGTTTTCACAGGTGGTTTTGATCATCATCCCTCTCCACTCCGGCACATGCTGTAGCTCCTTCACTTACTGTGGAAATAGGTTGTCGTGAATGTACATCAGTACACGCAAAAATGTACGCACAGTGCAATGAAAATAACTCATCGCAGTGTTATTCCCTTGGAAAGATAGCTTTGGAATGGGGAAATTAAAGAGGCAACATGACCACATTTTAGGCTACATTCAGCTAGTACAATGGGTGCATCTCCCACACACAGCATTCCACACACCAAAATTGGAACACAGATATTTTGAACCAGCTATTAGTGCAATTAATTGAACACTAAAGCATATTATTTGTCAACATTCTAGAAAAGCACCACCAGAGGTCCAGTTCAGGTACATGAATTTGCTGAGTTGAAGCCTAGCTAACAGTCACTGCCTAGAGTCACCTGTGCCCACTGACCATGTGTCAAAACCTCTTTTATGGTTATGGTTAATAAACTTTATATTCATGCTTTATAGCTCATATTTCGCTAATTCTGGTTTCACAGGTGCCCTCTTAGTTTCTTCTGAAGATGAGGAGTCATCATTTGCTACCGCTACGTGCTCTTTTGGTTGTCCTGCTTGCAGGACTTCTTCCTAAACTCGATGCCCAGGAAGATGAAGGTAAGTTTAACTAATTTAATCTCATTGCATTTTACAGATGATAGAACCGGGTCTCAATAAGCAAGTGTTTAAATATCAAATGCAAGCAAAGGGATTATAAAACTGTATTTGCATTTCTTACTTTTACATGTATTATGCTTTCAAGACTGAATGCAAACAGTTAACCTCAAAATGGGACATAAAACTTAGAATATAAAACCTCAAGAGATACTATAGTAGAGTAAGTCTGATACATTTGACACAATAAACATACATAAACAGACTGATGCTATCAAACTGAAGTACATTTATATTGTGCACTTTGTTAGCATCTTTTCACTGGTCTTTACTTTTGTCCTCCCAACACTCCCTTTGGAAGATTGTGCACAAGGTTTGGCAGCTGATATGTACTTTCTAGTGGATTCATCATGGAGTATGGGTCAAGAGAACTTTGAGCATGTCAGACACTTTCTGTACACCTTGATACAATCTCTGCACCAGGTCGGAGGAGAAAGGTTTAAATTTGCCCTTGTACAGTACAATAGCAGGCCTCACACTGAGTTCCAGCTCAACAGCTACAAAACTGCACAGGGAGTCCTGGCACACATCAAGGCTATGTCTTACCGTGGTGGGGGCACGCGGACTGGCTTGGGTTTGGATTTTCTGATACATACACATTTGACTGCTGCTTCGGGCAGCCGTGCTGCTGACGGAGTCGCCCAGGTGGTGGTGGTGCTAACAGACGGCCGCTCGCAGGATGATGTTGCCGAGCCAGCTCAAGTGCTGCGGATGGCAGGCGTGGAGATGTTTGCAGTTGGAGTTCAGGATGCAGTGGACTGGGAGCTCAGGGAGATGGCTAGCCAACCTCAAAGCACTCACGTTTTCAGTGTAGACACTTTCCCAGCCTTACAGAGTATAATTCAAGATTTAGTTGTGGGACTTTGTGATGCAGTGACCCAGTCAGGGGGGTTTCCTGTGGCAAATGAGGCCCCTGTGGCTGGAGGAGGGACAGGTAATGAAATGGGACCAGCGTCACTACCATACTAATGTCTACATGTGCAGAAAGAAGCTGCTGCACATGCGGCTGTGACTGGACCTTTTTATAATTAACATAACGATTTTTTTAACCACAGTAACCTTCCACTGTTCACCTGCAACATTAACACCACTTTTTTGATTTGTCTTTCAACATGTAATATACCTCTAATGCTTCAAAGATCACAGTACGATTTGCATGTGTTCACTTTACTGCATTAGGTGTTGTACCTGGTACTTTTGCAAAAGGTAGGTCTCTGATGGAGGCTGAAATGGCTTCTGTTATAATTCAACACGCCATTTTCAGAAGATCAGATCTTCCCCAGTGTCCTCTTCTAAAACCTTTGGAAGATAACAAGGTCTCTGGGACACTTTAAAAGCTTTTAAAGCCCCCGAAAATCAAACTGTGAGCTTTTAACAATAGCTAACCATGCACCACTGCTTATGTGTCCTGCACATGTGTGTTTGTCTTTTTTCAATCACAATGTCTATCTGTGTAAAATATGTGCAGTATTCTGTTTTTGAAACAGTGATGAACCTGTCTGGAGACATCCTTGACCTGCAGAAGCACTTTGAGAATGTTTTTATCTTTAAATAGCGTAATCTATTTGCTGTCGTAATTTAATGACATAAGAAAGGCGAACGGTAGTGAAGAATGGTAATTTAAGATACTCAAATATCCAAAGGGTACATGTTCATTTCAAATGAAGCATTGCCATTATATGTGGTTTTGCTCTTTTTAAACAAAATCATATGTCTCAATGACTGCAAATATGCAGGCACCAAGGATGGTTCACAGGGTCATGACTGGTCACGTCATCTGAGGTCTGTAACAAGAGTCTGCATGGAGTGGTTGAACTCAGCGGAGCTCATACAAATGGGCATATTACATTATTTTTTAAATATTAAATATCATAAAAGATTATATCTATTTATATATTTAATCATTTGTTTTCCTCTAGAATGGAAATTCTTAATGCATTATGCCCATCTGCAGATTTTCTTTTAGTTCTTTATGTTCCTAGATGCTCCAGATTTTAAATAGCAGATCATGTTCTGTCACAATTTATTCCCATAGAAAACTGTGAGATACATCCAACTCTAAGACCTAACATTGTCTCAAAACATATAGAAAAATGTATTTTTGTTCAGAAGACATGTAGATAAGCAAAAGTTTAAACACTGTGACTTTTCTGTACATAAATTCTAGTGTTACTGTAATTAGAATTGAATTCAAGTAAAAAAAAAAAAATCTATGGAGCAAAGTAATCGACAAATTACAGGACTTTAGGAAATCTCCTTGGTTCAGCCAACATGCAGTATGATGTTTTGCAGTGTTGTTGATTTATTCACTGAATGACACAGCTAGCACGAGTTCTTTGATTTATGTCTCTGTCTCAGATTCACTTATTTAACGCTTTCACAAGTTCCATTTTGTTTTGTTTTCTCTCTCTCCTTAAAGCACAAGACACAGCTGACCTAGTACTGTTAATTGATGGATCACAGAACATTGGAGCAGCAAACTTCCCCTATGTGCGTGAATTGGTTTTGAGAATCATTGAGCGCCTTGATGTGGGCAGGGACACTGTTCGGGTGGCCTTGATCCTGTACAACAGCAGCCCAGTGATAAAGTTCTATCTAAATAGCTTTTACAGCAAATCATCACTCCTGGATGCTGTGAAAGCCCTCACCTACACAGGGGGCGATGAATCTAACCTGGGGGCTGCCTTGGAGGAAGTGGCCGAGAGCCTTTTAAGTGAAACATCTGGGGGCAGGGCTGACGAGGGTGTGCCCCAGATGTTGGTGGTTATCACTGCTGGGCCATCCACTGATGATACTGGTGCTGGTGACCGAGCTCTTAAGAGGGCCAGTGTTATCACATTCGGCGTGGCGATTGGTGACACTGCCACTGCAGATCTGGAAACAATTGCTACAGATATAAGTTTTGTCCAGTCAGCCTCTGATGTCAGAGAAGTTGCAAACATTGGTGACCAACTGCTTCCACTCATTAACGGGGTGATCCAGCGCACTATTTTAGTTCAGAATGAGTTCACAGAAGGTATGTAACTTCTCAGTAAACCCTGGCGGGGCATTACGGTTGTGGAAGGGGACTTCATAATTCAATGGATATGTTATAGTGCACATAGTTTCTATAGCCCTAATTTTAAGTTTATAACAGAAGTGGTAACACTTAGAAGTCTTATTACCATTTTAAAAATATTTGAAATTTGACTCCATTCCATTAACCCTCTCAAGGCAGACGTTGCCGATTTGCAAAAGTTAAAAACTAACAACCTGATTACCCCACATACATATTTTATGAGGTTTTTTTTTACTCAGAAGTACCAGGACTTGGTTGTGCATTAGCAACAAAAAACTTAATTTGAGCCTGAGAGGGTTAACTTACATAAATGTTTGATGAAGATAAAGATGTCATTAGTACCAGACAGCCTAATAAGAAAAAGATATTTGTATGTACAGTGGGGCAAAAAAGTATTTAGTCAGCCACCGATTGTGCAAGTTCCCCCACTTAAAATGATGACAGAGGTCAGTAATTTGCACCAGAGGTACACTTCAACTGTGAGAGACAGAACGTGAAAAAAAAATCCATGAATCCACATGGTAGGATTTGTAAAGAATTTATTCGTAAATCAGGGTGGAAAATAAGTATTTGGTCACCTCAAACATGGAAAATCTCTGGCTCTCACAGACCTGTAACGTCTTCTGTAAGAAGCTTTTCTGTCCCCCACTCGTTACCTGTATGAATGGCACCTGTTTGAACTCATCATCTGTATAAAAGACACCTGTCCACAGCCTCAAACAGTCAGACTCCAAACTCCACCTTGGCCAAGACCAAAGAGCTTTCGAAGGACACCAGGAAAAGTATTGTAGACCTGCACCAGACTGGGAAGAGTGAATCTACAATAGGCAAGCAGCTTGGTGTGAAAAAATCAACTGTGGGAGCAATCATCAGAAAATGGAAGACATACAAGACCACTGATAATCTCCCTCGATCTGGGGCTCCACGCAAGATCTCATCCCGTGGGGTCAAAATGATCATGAGAACGGTGAGCAAAGATCCCAGAACCACACGGGGGGACCTGGTGAATGACCTGCAGAGAGCTGGGACCAAAGTAACAAAGGTCACCATCAGTAACACACTACAACGGCAGGGAATCAAATCCCGCAGTGCCAGACGTGTTCCGCTGCTGAAGCCAGTGCATGTCCAGGCCCGTCTGAAGTTTGCCAGAGAGCACATGGATGATACAGCAGAGGATTGGGAGAATGTCATGTGGTCAGATAAAACCAAAGTAGAACTTTTTGGTATAAACTCAACTCGTCGTGTTTGGAGGAAGAAGAATAATGAGTTGCATCCCAAGAACACCATACCTACTGTGAAGCATGGGGGTGGAAACATCATGCTATGGGGCTGTTTTTCTGCCAAGGGGACAGGACGACTGATCCGTGTTAAGGACAGAATGAATGGGGCCATGTATCGTGAGATTTTGAGCCAAAACCTCCTTCCATCAGTGAGAACTTTGAAGATGAAACGAGGCTGGGTCTTCCAACATGACAATGATCCAAAACACACCGCCCGGGCAACAAAGGAGTGGCTCCGTAAGAAGCATTTGAAAGTCCTGGAGTGGCCTAGCCAGTCTCCAGACCTCAACCCCATAGAAAATCTGTGGCGGGAGTTGAAAGGCCGTGTTGCTCGGCGACAGCCCCAAAACATCACTGCTCTCGAGAAGATCTGCATGGAGGAATGGGCCAAAATACCAGCTACTGTGTGTGCAAACCTGGTAAAGACCTATAGTAAACGTTTGACCTCTGTTATTGCCAACAAAGGTTATGTTACAAAGTATTGAGTTGTATTTTTGTTATTGACCAAATACTTATTTTCCACCCTGATTTACCAATAAATTCTTTACAAATCCTACCATGTGGATTCATGGATTTTTCTTTCACATTCTGTCTCTCACAGTTGAAGTGTACCTCTGGTGCAAATTACTGACCTCTGTCATCATTTTAGGTGGGGGAACTTGCACAATCGGTGGCTGACTAAATACTTTTTTGCCCCACTGTAGGTCTGGTGCTTGTGTTTCCATAAAAGTTGGAATATGATGTCAATAAGAAGAAATCATTATAAAAACAGCATATCAAATGTTGAAACTGAGAACATTTTTGGAATTGATTGTATATATGTTTAGCTTGTCTTGTAGGTCAGTTTTTGTGAATTCAAGATTGGTAAATAATTTTATCTGCTCAGCAGTGGCCTTTTCTGTAATTGTTTTATTTCATAATGTTTTCAATTGAGTACAGGTCTGGACTGCAGGAAGGCCAGTTTAGCATCTCAGCTCTTTTACTACAAAGCTATGTTGCTGGAAAATATGTTCTCATTAAAAAGATTCAATGTAAGAGGCAACAATGTACGGGCAAATAGTAAGATTTTAATGTGTTTAAAACTTTTCACAAGTCTTATCAGCAGTTATTTTTCACTACAAAGGTAATCCACTGTTCCATTGTGATTTTGGCCCTCAACCTTTTTACACAAAATGTCTTTGGATTCTCAGAATATTTTAATATGTAATATTTAATACCTGTAGATTTTGAAATCCAAATTTTATTGTTTATTATTTCTTCAATTTTGTGTTCAGAAATGGTATTCTCAAATTGTGGAAGTGTTTATCACTGAGCAGTGAATGTCTCTAACTCTCTGGGATGCTATTTTATAATCATTTGATGCAACTTCTATTCCCAGAGTGATTCTGGAAAAAAGAAAATCAAAATGATAATGTATTTTTCAATAAACAAATTTCTCAGTTTCAGTATCTGATAGGTTGTAATCATTGTAATTAAATGCAGAATTTAAGCTTTTAGCAGATAATCGAATTCCTTTTTAAATTACTTTTTACAAAGAGTTACAGCTTTTTTTTTAGGTAACTAGGATGTATGTTGCTCAAAATGTGGTTTATTAGACAATATATATTTTTAACAATGGCATAAGATCATCTTAGTTAAATCAGTTAACAGAAAGAGCTTTGTGCATTTGTATTATTTATGCAGTTTAAATTGATTTTTAAAATCTGATAGTTTTAGCGTATTTAACTTATTTTCAAAGGAGCATGCACACTAGCTGTACTTTGTAAAAATATAAAAATATATGGGTTTCAGGAAATAAAATAAATCACTTTATCACTTGATCTATAGCTGTTACAACATTTCTAACATTTTGTAATTGATGTCTATTAGAAGGCATCTGAATTTGTCCTACTTTTTTCCATGTCAGTAATACTTTACCCTCATGCCAAATAATTTAATGCAAATACAAAATATACATTTATTAACAGAATATATTTTCAGAGTTTTGTCAGCCAAAAACTTAGTCTTATAGACCGATTATTATAGCATCTAATATTCCCTCCTAACTGTAATGTTCTTTGTTGTTTCTTTTTCCAGTTATTCAGTCAAAAACAGTTGGAAATCGAGACATCATTTTCCTTATTGATGGTACAATGGGACCAGCAAACATTAACAATGTGCGGAATTTCATCAGAGAGTTTGTGGAAAGCATGCCAATTGGTCCAGATCAAGTTCAAGTGGGTATTGCACAGTTTTCTGCTTCCCCGAGAGTTGAGATGGATCTCAACACCCATGGGACCAAGGAGAAAATCATTTCTGCTTTGAGTACTATCAAACCAAGATCAGCACAGGTAGTCAACATCGGAGCAGCCTTGAACTTTGTCCGGGAAAGAATGTTGCAGCCAGAGAAGGGCAGCCGTATTCAGCAGGGTGTACCCCAGCTTGTAATGTTGTTAAGCAGCAAAAGATCCAGTGACAGCGTGGAAGAACCTGCAAGTGCCCTGAGGGAACTAGGTGTGTTGACCTTGGCTGCAGGCGCAAAGGCAGCTGATGAGCAGCAGCTGAAGCAGATTGCCATTAGTGACGATGCTGTGTTCTACGACAAGGATATACGACCACTGATTAGAACCAAGAAAGAGAAAATGATAAGTGCTCTTTCTACTTTAGCTGGAGGAGTACCCACCACAACAGGTAATGCTACATCTATATAGGTTGTTGAGCCCCTAAGTGCTTGAAATGAAGGCAACAGGACACCCTTTGGTTTGTGAAGAAATTTTGATCTCACCCAAGGGTCTTTTTCAGGTCAAAAAACTGTGGCGAGCCCGAGGTATTTAACCCATGGTGGGGTTATCCCCTTGGAATTGTTACTGATAGTCGTTAACCCACTCTACAATCATGTGAGCCACCGTGTCGATCAAAGAGTTGGTTCTTAATGTCACAGGGGAAAGTCCAGTCCAGTTTAAGAAATCAAAAACACAAAAACAAGTCTGGTTGCTTTCATTTCAAGTGGTCAGTAATGATTTGTCTTTCAGTGAAATTCAGGATAATTAGAAAGGGAAACCTAGGACTAAAATGAACTTTTGATAAATGTGATAGATAAGGAAAACTTTGAATAAATATGTGGAAAAACAACTAAAGCAAAAGTTTCCATTCAAAATTGAAAACTAGGACAATTCTGTGATTTGTGTGGAGTATAAACACAAGAGCCAGTTTCATGCCAGCTGAAAAATATAAATTGATCCTGAGTAAGTAGTTGTGTTAGTGACATTTTTAGTGTTTAGTTGGCTTTTTTTTTTCTACTTTGGTACTACGTCTTTGTGGTTTGAAATATTCTTCACAGTTATATTTGTAAATTGAAGTAATAAATATTGGGCACTTTACATGTTAAATTCTTCATTTGCACAGAGAGAAATGTTGCAACAGTCAATGCGTCACTATTACTGAAAGCACATGTTCATGGCATTACACAGAGAGTAATTAATACATTTTTTGTGCTTTTCTTCAGTGACGGAGGAAACCATAGTGGAGACCACAAAAATGGTCAGAGACATTGTCTTTCTTGTGGATGGCTCAAACTATGTTGGAAGCAGTAATTTGCCCTATGTGAGAGACTTTATGATCAATACGATCAACCAACTTGATGTAGGTCCTGACAGGGTCCAGGTTGGTCTCCTGCAGTTTGCTGACCGTCCAAAAATAGAATTTTACCTGAACAACTACAGGACCAGGGAAGAGGTTGTAGAAAAAATCTCTCAACTCAGGCTGACCGGAGGCTCAGCTGTGAATACAGGAGCTGCCATGAATTATGCCCTGGACAACATGTTTCACTCATCAAGGGGGTCACGCAGAAGGCAAGGAGTCCAGCAGGTGTTGGTTCTGATCACAGGTGGTCCACCCCAAGATCAGGTTAGATCTGTGGCTGACAGGTTGGCTCTGGCTGGTGTTTTGACTTTCACCGTCAGTTCTGGACAAGCAGATGAGGCCCAACTCCAGAGTGTTGCCTTTGTTCCAACTTTGGCTTTCCATGCAAGAAGCTTCTCTGGTTTACCAGGCCTTGCTGAACAAATCATGCCAGAGTTGGTAACAGTGGTTGGCGATACCGACGTGGCAGTATTCCAAGAGGAAACTGGTTAGTTTGGAATTTCTGTTTTCTTTGTCTAATAAAAATATGATCAACTGTATATCTAGCAAAACATAAATAAATGTTTATTGTATTTTTTTCCTTCAGTTGTTGGAGCTGAAAGAGATGTTGCTTTCCTCATTGATGGCACAGATCGAGTTCAAGCAGATTTTGCCTACATAAAGGATTTTATCATTAAAGTAATCGAACCACTTGACATTGGAGATGACAAGGTACGAGTTTCAGTGGTTCAACACAGTGAAAGGCCAACTCTAAGTTTTTACCTTAACACTTATAAAACCAAAGATGAAGTGATAAGAGCTGTCCAAGGACTCAGAGTGACTGGTGGACGTAGTTTAAACACAGGATCCGCTCTGAGATTCATGAAAGACACCATCCTGTCTGGCAGTTATGGTGGTCGTGCTGCACAAAATGTCCCTCAGTTTCTGATTGTTTTGACTGGAGGCCAATCTACGGATAATGTAAGGGAACCCGCTGGAGCACTGAAGACAGATGGAGTTGTACCGTTTGGTGTTGGTGTCAAGGACGCAGACCCAAAGCAGATTGAGGCCATCTCGCACAACCCTTCTTTTGCCTTCAACGTTAAGGAATTCAGTGAGCTCAGCACCATACCGCAAAGACTGAATAATTATGTGAGCCTACCAAGGGAAGAGTTAGAGGTCGTCCTACAGCAAGGTAAGATTTTTTTTTTCCGGGTGTCCGGAACTCACAAAATCTGCAATTTTTGGTGCTTTATATCTCATCTAACTTATGTTAACCCCATTTTAATCTTAATTAGATTCTTATTGTTGTCTTAACACAAGATGATGCTGTAAAAATAAATATTGTGTTGATGGCACTGATAACACTGGAAATGGATTGACAGACATTAAACACTTCATTAAAAACATAACAGAGAACCTTTATATCAGTGAGAACCAAGACAGACTGTCTGTGGTTCAGTTTGCAGATAACACTCAGGTCAACTTTTATCTAAATTCTCACAAGACAAAGAATTACAATTTAAATGCGATAGACATTTTAAGGCACAAATGAGGGACATGCCATAATATTGGTGCAGCTCTACAGTTTGTGATGCATAGTGTCTTTACTTCCTCCATGGGTAGCAGAAGACTAAAAAGGAATCATCCAGATTTTAATTAAGTGGCAAACTGTCCACTGATAATGCAAGAAGCCCAGCTTTTCCTCTTAAAGAACATTACATTTTACATAACATTTTGGAGTGAGAGATGCCAAAATATCAGAGTTGGAAATGATTGCGCTCAAACCTGGTTTCACATATAAGGTTTCTGAATTACCCTCAGTCCAGTCACAACTTATTATTTCACTGAACAGACACAAAGACACTCAAGACAAAGCTGTCATGTCAGTGTATAAGCTAATATTATTTCATCAGGACAAGTTTTACTCCTTAGCACAGTTGCATTTTCTCATAAAACTAACATATCCCTAAACTCGAATGATTGATAAGATTTTATTTGGTGATTTTGGTAATTATTCACCCCATTATTTAAGCCATTTCTATTGTGTAAATTTCATGATTGTTCTCACTAAAAAGCCTATTCTAGCTGAAAAAGAAATAAATTTTGGTGTGTTTTTCGGTTTTATCTTTTCTTTCCAAGTGTCCATTTCACTTACTACTTTGAAGTCACTTGGAAGATCAGTCATTCAATTGTCTTATACATCTTTTTTGGTAAAAAGATGTTTTTCTTCCCACTTTTCAGAGCAATAGCTCACATCTTTACAGCTCAGTTTTTTCACTGAGCTTGACTTGCTCATGCTAATAAATATGCATGACTGTTAGAACATCTCAAATGCGTAATTCGCAAATCTTCTATCCATCCTTGTATCATCTAGTTGACACACGGAGGGACATAGTGTTTCTCCTTGATGGGTCAGATGACTCCAGAAATGGTCTACCAGCTATTCGAGAGTTCGTCAGAAGAATGGTTGAAGAGTTGGACGTTGGCGAAGATAAGGTTCGAGTGGGCGTTATACTGTATAGTGATGATGCCTCAATTTACTTCAACCTAATAACTCACAGATCCAAAAAAGCTATTATCTATGCTGTAAGAAGTCTTCGACATAAAGGAGGGAAATCTCGCAATACTGGAGCTGCTTTACAGTTTGTGCAAGACCATGTTTTCACAACTTCATCTGGGAGTAGACACCTGGAGGGAGTTCCTCAGATTCTTTTTTTGCTCACTGGGGGAAAATCCAAAGATGATGTTTCCAGAGCTGCATTTGGACTAAAGCAAATCGGTGTTATCTCTTTTGCAATTGGAATGAAAAATGCTGGACAAGAGGAACTTCAAAAAATTGCCTTCTCCTCCAGATATGTTTTCAACTTGCCTTTCTTTGCTGAAATTTTGTCCATTCAGCCAGATTTAGTAGCATTTGTCCAGACAGAAATATCAGCTAAGCCTGCTACTGTTGTAGGTAAGAAACAAATGTAATATATAATTTAAATTTAAACTGACTCGCTGTTTCTGTTCTTGCTCATTTGGTCTTTCTTAATTTCAAATGTGATGAAACTGAATTATTTTCTGAAGAATGTCATTGATTCAGTTTCACATTTGTTAAATTCTCTTCACTGGCCAGACACATCTTACGTGTTACTTGCTTCTTGGTTGGCTGCCATCCTTTTTTTTTCTTGTACTCCAGAGAGCTTTTCTTTCTTTTCTTAAGCTCTCCCTTGAGCCAGTGATAATCACATCATTGACTGAAAATATGTTCTTTTGAACAAAAGAACTTGTTTGGCTTTAATCTTTCATGCGTGAAAGATGAATATGTTACTTAGCTTGTAATTTCTCAATATTTTTCTTTGTTAGCCAGTTTTCCTACAAATTGTTGCATCTAACACATCGTTTAAAACAATAATTCTTTGAATTTCATTACCAGTTTTAGTATATTTGCCAACAACATAATGGCTAATTATTGCACTACAGTACATTTTGGCTTATGTTTATGTTTGACTGCTAAACGAGGTTTTCATATTCTTTCTCTGAATTAGAATCTCCTCAAAGAGACATAGTATTCCTTTTGGATGGATCGGATAATACACAAAGTGACTTCCCAGCAATAAGGAGTTTTGTGGAACAAATGGTAGAAACACTCACAGTTGATGAGAACAGAGATCGTATTTCTGTGGTTCAGTATAGCGGAGATCCACAGACACATTTCAATTTGAACACCTACATGGCAAAACAAGATGTTCTCGGTGCAATCCAACGTTTGAACCACAAAGGAGGCATATCCCTCAACACTGGGGTAGCTCTTGACTATGTAAGAAAAAATGCTTTTGCCGAGTCCTCAGGTAGTCGGCATCAACAAGGTGTCCCTCAGATATTGATTCTGCTGAGCGATGGAAGATCTCAAGATGATGTTGCAAGTGCTGCTGCTGCTCTAAAACAGGAAAAAATTGTTCCAGTCTGTGTAGGTACCAGTAATGCAAACATACTTGAGCTCCAAATGATTGCACATGACCCTTCCTATGCCTTCTCCATAACTCAATTTGATGATATTGAGAGAATGAATGATCAACTTGTGTCACTTCTAAAAAGGATTCCTCGGCAGCAGCCAAGACAAAAATCACAAAGTCCTTTAGGTAAGGCTTTTTATTGATGTTTTCATGGTCTATCTGTCTTATAATGCTTAACTCTAACTTAGCATCATCATTTCTGTCAAGATCCTGCAGGTCAAAATGAACCCATTCAACGTGATATTGTGTTTTTACTGGATTCCTCTGATAAAATGCAGAAAACCTTCAATGCTGTTCTTGGCTTTGTTGGAAGAATCATGGAGACACTCAGTGTGGACAAAAACAAAGATCGTGTTTCAGTAGTGCAGTACAGCAGAGAACCTTCTGTTGATTTTCTCCTAAATACATACAACACAAAGCAAGATGTTGCTGACAGTTTGCGAAGGTTGAGGCATAAAGGAGGTGAACCCCTCAATACTGGTGCAGCCCTGCAGTATGTCAAGGATAATGTTTTAACAGCTTCCTCTGGAAGTAGGCACCAGCAAGGTGTCCCCCAGATTTTGATTCTTTTAATTGGTGGACGTTCCAGTGATGATGTCAGAAATGCTGCTGAAAACTTGAATGAAATGGGTGTAACAACTTTTGTGGTTGGAATAGATCATGCAGACACCCTTGAGATTCAGTCTATTGCACAAAAATCAGACCGTGCTTTCCATGCAGCAGATATCAATAATCTATCAGATATTGAACAACTAATCATTTCTACCATGAAGGAGATTAAAAACCCTGCCATCAAACCACCATCGCACGGTAAGGTTGTAATGGTTAGCTCTTACACTGGGTGCGCGACTTAATAGATTGTCAGATTGTTGCAGACATGAAATCCCTTATTTTCGGTGAACGATAGATGATGAACTCCTTCACACTCAAATCTTTTGCTTGACAGAATCCTTTGCTTGATTAGTTGTAATTGAAGCACAAGCTGTGTATGCAGGATAAATGCATATTTACAAGAACAATTTTATTTTTCAATGTCATCATCAACCAGTTTGTTCAAATTCCTCTTGATTACAGATCCCAACGGAAGAGACATTGTTTTTTTGCTTGATGGTTCTGATGATTCTCAGCAAAAATTCCCAGATATTATTGACTTTGTAAAGAGGATAACAAAGCATCTAAACGTTGATATAAACAAAGATCGCATGGCTGTGGTCCAGTACAGTGACACTGCAGAGATTAATTTTAACTTGAGTCGTTATTCAACAAAGAATGATATTCTTAAAGCAATAAATGGTCTGAGACACAAAGGGGGTTATCCTCACAACATTGGAGCTGCTCTCCAGTACTTGAAGGAACATGTATATACCCCTATGTCTGGTAGTAGACATCAGGAGGGAATTCCACAGATACTCATACTACTGATTGGTGGACGATCTGCAGATGACATAAGAACCCCAGCCAGAATGATGAAGCAAATTGGTGCCATTTCAGTTGTAATTGGGACATCTGATGCTGACACTCTAGAGCTACAGACAATAGCTCATGAACCCAAGTATGCGCTCCCAGTTGCTGAATATGGACAACTTCCTAGTGTTCAGGAAGATGTGTTGACATTGATAAGAGAGGCTTTGCACCATGTAGAACAAATTGCTCCCACAGCAGGTCTCGGTAAGAATCAATGTTTTCATTATCTAGTAAAGAAGAGAGATTGGAGGATTTTCAGAAACCGCCATTGTCACATTCTGTTTACATTTTTTTTTTTTTGCAGATTCTAAGAAAAATGATGTAGTGTTTCTCATTGATGGATCATATGACTCACTGAATGGTTTTGAAGAAATACGAAGCTTTATTGAAAAAACTGTGGAAAGTTTAAATTTGGGCAATGATAGAGACCAAGTGGCTGTTGTTCAGTACAGTCGTGATGCCACTGTTAATTTTTACTTGAATTCTTATTCTTCCAAGAATGATGTGCTCAATTCCATAAGAACAATGAGACATAAATTTGGAAGACCACTGAACATTGGAAAAGCACTGGAGTTTGTCAGAGACAACGTCTTTTCTGCTTCAGTTGGAGGCAGACGTGCAGACTTGGTCCCTCAGTATCTGTATGTTTTTAGTGGTGGAAGATCTGGAGATGATGTCAGAGGACCAGCACAATCACTCAAAGACAATGGCATCAAAACCTTTAGTATTGGAACGGAGAATGCTGATACTTTGGAAATGCAGACTATCTCCTATACACCAGCACATTATTTTTATGTCACAAACTATAATAATCTACAAAGCTTAGATCCATCAGTGGAAGCCATGTTGAGGGGCACTAAAGAAACAGCTGAATTTTCAACTATTGGTAAGAGTAACAACAATTTATAATAGCTTCCTTCTGGACATGATTGCACATCATGATTATCGTTTAGGTTATATGTAAGAGGTAAATGTTGTAAAATATTTCATAACCCATTTCAGATACATCTGTGACAGCAGAAACAGGATTCCAGAGTGCTGATATTGTTTTTCTTCTTGATGGATCTGATGATATGCAACCAAGTGAACAACAAGCTTTGGAATTTGTCAGAGAGTTTGTCAAGCAAATAGAAATTGGGCTAAGAAAAGCACAAGTTGCTTTAATCCAGTACAGCACAGAGCCCACAACTGAGTTTCTTCTAAACAAATACTTAATGAAAGATGATATCATTAATCATTTGGACAACATGAAACTGAAAGGAGGGTCCACTGTGAACATTGGTGTAGCCCTTGATTATGTGAAAAATAATGTCTTCACTGCTTCATCTGGAAGCAGAGCACTGCATGCAGTCCCACAGATACTGATACTCTTCAGTGGAAGAAATTCAAATGATGAAATCTTAGGTCCATTAGAAAGGCTCCGAAATGTGGGAATTGTTCTTTTTGGCATTGGTGTGAATAATGCTGATAGGTTTGAGATGGAACAATTAGCTCCTACAGCAATGTATTTTATAAAGAATACTTCTGACTTTCCTCATGTGAGAGAGCAGTTGCTGTCTGTCATATCCTCTCTCAAAAGTACTATCACACCTCATGTGGGTAAGTGAAAATAACATTTGATGATATGAAGTTTGATTAAACAAATATCTCATTTAATATTATTTAAATACAAACCTTGTAAACCTCATGCTGAAGTATCTTCAACAGTAATTTGATGACTGTTGAATTGGTTAGAAACAACATTTACACATTTACATGATTTTGAATTTTTTTAGGTTCAAGCTCCAGCATAAAACGAGATATTGTATTTCTCATTGATGGATCTGATGATGTCAGGATGAGTTTCAGTGCCATACGTGAATTTGTTGCTAAAATGGTTGCGAGCTTTGACCTGGACCAAAGAAAAGATAAAGTTGCAGTTGTGCAGTATAGCAACAATGCTGAACTTAACTTTAATCTGGATACTTACAAAACAAAAGCTGATGTCCTAAAGCACATTGCAAGTCTTAAACCCAAAGGTGGAAGGCCACAGTATATTGGGGCAGGACTGCAATTTGTGAAGGATAATGTCTTTGTTCCAAATGCTGGAAGTCGACAAGATGAAGGAGTCAAACAAATACTTATTGTATTGGCTGGTGGAAGATCAAGAGATTCTCCAAGAGGACCAGCAAGTATGCTTAAAACAGCAGGTGTCACTACATTTGCAATTGGATCAAGAATGTCCAATTCAGCTGAGATGGAAATGATTTCATCAAACCCAAATTTCAAATACTCAGTCCCAGACTTTGTAAATCTGCCTCGAATTCAGGAAAGTTTGAAGAGTCACTTTACTAAAATGGCAGTTGAAGGGGAAACAATGGGAGGTAAGAACTTAAATGATTTGTCAAATTTAATACGTTAATTTTAATATGTAGATTTTATTCAAGTGAATTAGAGGTGAGTAAAAATTAATCAGCAACTGTATTTCTAATTAAAGAAGAAAAAAAGAAAACAATGAGTGTGAGTTGAATAAATGGCTTTATGTTGAAGAACATTTGACAGGCCAAGATAAACATGTTAAAAA